TTCTCCATCCACCCGGTAGAGAGCTCATCGTACAATGCTGGAGTTCGAGCAACAATGCCTATTGAGCTTGTCATCGACTTCAAGTATGCGATCGAGCTCGGAGTGGTGTTTTTCCTTTCGGAGTCTGACGTCATGCTGACCGCCGACATCGTTCCCAATGACTCCATTCTGTACTACACAGATGCGAAGACAGGTGAAGTGCTTTGGAGAAACGCCCTTCGTCTTGAGGCATTGGAGAATCAAACGACTGTCGACACGCTCGCCGCAAGGGAGCCGTCACTGTGACTGCAGACGAGGCCTTTCAGACCGATGCGGAGGGAAACAGGGCCACAAATCCTGAAGAAGAGCAGACGAATGAGGACACGGCCGCCTCTCGCCCGGGGCAACCCGCGGCCGACACCTCAGTCGTCAGGTTCAAGACCTTCGCAATGCCCGTCCACTACACGGACTGCAGCCTCTGCGGCGAGGACATGATGCAGGGGCAGCTCAAGTGCCAGCGTTGCGGACGGAGCACTAAGGAGAACAATGACGTTCAGCTCCGCAAAGCGGAGAACGCAGATGCTTGAGGAGGTGAGTCACCGCGTTGGCAAGACGGTTGATAAGTTCCTCATCAATGATTTCAAGGGCTACGCTGATGCTGCGAAGAGAGGAGCAACATCCTTCGAAGCCAAGCAGATTGAGGCTTCAAAGAACTACGATAGCAGGGCCCGCAAGCTTGGATACGACAATGTGGTGGATCGGTTTGACAAAGATGCGACCTTTGCCCTTCGTATGGTGGAGCAAGGGCACAATCGCGACAGCCTCTACCAAATGTCTATCTATACTTTTTGTGTCCGCCCCGAATTTCCACGGAGTTACGATCAACGACTTCTCGGGGTTGGGCCACGATATGGAAAACGAGGTCTCCAGTATGTGAGGACTGTCTACGTCACCGGCGGCAAGGTCGGGGGAATATGACGCCAGCCTGCTTACGTTTCCATGGCTATTCTCGTACAACGGGAAAATGCTGAGTCTTCATCAATTCGTCGACCATTTCAACATCCTCCCGGGGATGCGCAATCTTGTCACCTTTGGCGGGAAGTTCCCTACGCTCCGGGCAACCGGAGCCGAGGACCTCGAAGCTGAAGTCACGGAGATTTGCTGCCAGGCGGAGGACGATGCGAAGAAGCTCGCACGGCGCAGCCAAAGGCAAAGCGCCGAGGACCGCGCCCGCGGACCTGTGCAACCTGCTCAGCCCGCCTCCAGCTCCGCTGCCAGAAGCCGAAGCTGGAGAGATTGGGGCAGTCAGGACTGGAGCAGTCAGGACTGGAGCAGTTGGCAGTGGTCGACCTGGAGTTCGCGCGGCTGGTCTACTAGCGGAAGGTGGTGAACGCAATCGTCATCACAACGGAGCCCTTCTGAGAGAGTAGCAATTTGCATGCACGACGGATGTGTAATGTCCATTTTCAACGTGCAATGGATGTGCGTATGGAATCAAAGCGGGTTGCAAAACCTGCCGACATTTTCGTTGTTGCTCAATCTCAAATGAGGGGGGTGTGGATTCATGTTCCAACCCTGTGCATGAGTGTACTTGTACATGCTCCGCCGCTACAGACTTCAAGATCACTGACAGCAGTGTGAAAAGGTAGTCAACGGTTTGCTGCTTGCCTAGGTATTCCCTTAGGTGGCCTAGGCTTGATAACACAATCCGGTTCCTCCGAGGCCTACCACATCGGCACGCCAAGAGAGGACGACCTGCTGAAGCTTGGACGCCCTGACAAGGCCGCGAGCAATGTCGGAAGCTCATCCGAAAAGACCTTCAACTTTGCCGTCTTCAAGCACTACCAGACCGAGGCGGCAAGCGGAGAATAGTTCACAGTTGGCGGCAAACGGCGACGAGGACTGATCGTCGACCCAGGAGCAGCATCAGGTCTCATAGGATCTGAAACCTTGAGAGACCTTGCATCAAGCCCTGCGGCAAGGAGCGTGACGTTGAGAGGTTCCGGGACAAGATCACGAACGTCAGCGGAATACATGGACAACAGGAGGCAACCCTGGGTGAGATTGTGGTGCCGCTGCAATCCTCAGGGCAAGCAATCTCTTTCCGGGCAGAAGTACTTGAAGGCGATGGATCGCTGTGTCCTCCGCTGATTGGAAACCCATCGCTTAGGCAGCTCAATGCCACCATCTACTCGAACTACTTCGAGAACGGCGATGGTCTACTCACAGTGGGCATGAGAGAAAGGTATCCCGAGGAGCAACAGGTCACGATGTTCCGCCTCCTCCTTAGCGATTCTGGACATTACATCAGTACCACTGATGACGAAGGAGCAGCACCTCTACCGCGTCAGGACAAGATCAAGAGGGAGGTGATGTGGTTCAACAGCCAAGTGCATCAACAGTGCATCAAGCAATGGAGCGATGTCCGAGCCCGACTGTTCTGCTCTACCAGACAGCATGCAACCTGGAGCAGCCCATCGGCTCGATCATGTGGAACAAAGGACCGTTTCAATGGAATAGATTGAAACAGATCAAACCGAAGCAGCGCGTTGATCTTTTGTCTCCCCCTTTTTTGAACCACACCAAAAAAGTCTCAACCAAATGCTGCACCTGAAACGCTTCGCAGGGGGCGCCCGGAGAGATTGGGGAGGAAGGCCGTGTCTTTTTGTTTTTTCTCTTTTTTCCATTTCTTTTTTTCTTTTTTCTCGGTTGTAGCGGGTTGTGCTTGTTTTGGTTTGCGGTTTGGTTATTGTTTGTTTGTCTTTTGGTTTGCTTTTTTCGGTTTTCGGTTTTAGCTGTTTGTTTGTTTGTGTGTGTGTGTGTGCGTGTGCGTGTGCGTGTGTGTGTGTGTGTGTGCTTTTTTTGGTCAGTGCATGCACGGAGCGGTGAACGAGAAGGGCATCTTCGTGCAGAAGGGCACGGGTTTCGGATCCAACATCCGATGGAAGAAGACCGCACTGCGATGTTCGGGACACAATGGCGTTGGTCATGCCCATCTTCAGGGACAGGTGAACGGCATCAACAGAACGGCCATGAGTGCGGTGTATCCCAAGCGGATGTGCCACAAGATGTGCACCACAGGAAGCCGCAACCGCAACCAGCGCTTCTAACGCGAGCGGATGATCGCACTTCAGGATGCGACACGGAACTCCCGAACCAAGATCATCTACAACCATGACATCGGCATCAGCGCGACGAGATACCGATGGCCCCAGTGGAGCTGGAGGGCCAAGCGCACCTACTGGATGGGCAACTACAAGGGAGACCGCTCGGAGTACCTCTACGGCCAGGACAACGACAGAAGAGCCTCTTGATGAGGCCCATTTTTCAAGTACCAGGGGACACCTTGCCGAGTGACCTACCTCCAGAAAAGGTCAAGAAGCTAGAGAAGAGGCGCGAAGCCATTCCTGAGGAGTACTACAAGCACACCGGACATCGACCCATCACGCCCCACAACTTCCATCACTGGAGGAGAAGGGCCGAGGTCTTCGGTGGCATGCCTCGGAGATCTGCAGTGGATCGGGCAGACTCTCATTGGTCATGATCATGGCAGGTTTGCTGATCGGATTTCCAGTAGGCCTCAGGTGTGGCTGGGATATCGAAGGAGTTCGATCCAGTCTTCATCAGACTGTGCCATGGTCGGCATCCGGGAACACCAAGCTGGCAGAGAACAGAGAGTATGAACGCCAACAAGATCGGCCTGGGCTGGAATTCATCAACGAGCTCTTCATCGGCCAGGAGAAGAGGAACCATGCAACCTGGAGCAGCCCATCGGCTCGATCATGTGGAACAAAGGACCGTTTCAATGGAATAGATTGAAACAGATCAAGCCGAAGCAGCGCGTTGATCTTTTGTCTCCCCCTTTTTTGAACCACACCAAAAAAGTCTCAACCAAAGGATGCCCTTTTTGAAGCCCAGGAGTTGCATCTCCGGTTGACGCCTTCACGCCTTCACGCCTTCACGCGCAGGACCTGAGCCTCCGACGAGGGTCATGTTGCTGCACCTGAAACGCTTCGCAGGGGCGCCCGGAGAGATTGGGGAGGAAGGCCGTGTCTTTTTGTTTGTGTGTTTTTCTCTTTTTCCATTTCTTGTTTTTCTCTTTTCTCGGTTGTAGCGGGTTGTGCTTGTTTTGGTTTGCGGTTTGGTTATTGTTTGTTTGTCTTTTGGTTTGCTTTTTCGGTTTTAGCTGTTTGTTTGTTTGTTTGTTTGTGTGTGTGTGCGTGTGTGCGTGTGTGTGTGTGTGTGTGTGTGCTTTTTTTGGTCAGTGCATGCACGGAGCGGTGAACGAGAAGGGCATCTTCGTGCAGAAGGGCACGGGTTTCGGATCCAACATCCGATGGAAGAAGACCACGCTGCGATGTTCGGGACACAATGGCGTTGGTCATGCCCATCTTCAGGGACAGGTGAACGGCATCAACAGAACGGCCATGAGTGCGGTGTATCCCAAGCGGATGTGCCACAAGATGTGCACCACAGGAAGCCGCAACCGCAACCAGCGCTTCTAACGCGAGCGGATGATCGCACTTCAGGATGCGACACGGAACTCCCGAACCAAGATCATCTACAACCATGACATCGGCATCAGCGCGACGAGATACCGATGGCCCCAGTGGAGCTGGAGGGCCAAGCGCACCTACTGGATGGGCAACTACGAGGGAGACCGCTCGGAGTACCTCTACGGCCAGGACAACGACAGAAGAGCCTCTTGATGAGGCCCATTTTTCAAGTACCAGGAAGGCACATTGCCGAGTGACCTACCTCCAGAAAAGGTCAAGAAGCTAGAGAAGAGGTACGAGGCCATTCCTGAGGAGTACTACAAGCACACCGGACATCGACTTCGGTGGCATGCCTGAGAGATCTGCAGTGGATCGGGCAGACTCTCATTGGTCATGATCATGGCAGGTTTGCTGATCGGATTTCCAGTAGACCTCAGGTATGGCTGGGATATCAACGGCGTGGGCCACCAACCATGCTGAAACAGGCGTGGAAGGAGTTCGATCCAGTCTTCATCAGACTGTGCCATGGTCGGCATCCGGGAACACCAAGCTGGCAGAGAACAGAGAGTAAATGAACGCCAACAAGATCGGCCTGGGCTGGAATTCATCAACGAGCTCTTCATCTGCCAGGAGAAGAGGAACCATGCAACCTGGAGCAGCCCATCGGCTCGATCATGTGGAACAAAGGACCGTTTCAATGGAATAGATTGAAACAGATCAAACCGAAGCAGCGCGTTGATCTTTTGTCTCCCCCTTTTTTTGAACCACACCAAAAAAGTCTCAACCAAAGGATGCCCTTTTGAAGCCCAGGAGTTGCATCTCCGGTTGACGCCTTCACGCCTTCACGCCTTCACGCGCAGGACCTGAGCCTCCGAGGGAAGATGATCTCCGGAGGTCTGTGCGCCATTTACCTCTACTACTACCAGGCCACCGCTACGGAAGAAGAGCCATCCAGCACATCACCAGCACCAAGAGCTCCTGTCCCACAAGCGCAGCCAAGTCAGTACTGTTGAGGACAGGAAGCGAGTTGGTCCTGAGACCAGGACAGTCGCCATCGCCCCAGAGAAGAAGAAGCAGAGGGTTCATTTCCAGACCTACAGGACATGTAGAAGGAAGACTTCACCATGGCCTACCACCAGCAGGACAAGATGAGGCGCATCTACATACATGGGGGACTTCCCGGAATCCTGGAAGGCAGAAGCCCAGGTTGTGACCACGTACATCAAGGAGCTCCGGCAGGTCAACTATGAGGAGATGAGGAAGGAATTGCCGGTGCTTTTTTCACATGCACTATAAGTACGATGGTGAAGTTTTGGCGGGCCTGAGGGAGGCCGAAATCTTCAGAGTTGATGTGGAGGCAGACAACATCGAGATTCTGACCTCTACAATATCTGGCCACAGGTGGAAGCTGCGGATCTGGCGGAGATACAGCAGTTTGTCGAGGAGAAAGCTTTTCGCAAGATCCACCTGGATTCTCTCACCAGTGAGACAATAGTGGTGGACTCACGCTGGGTTCGGAAATGGAAGCGCATGCAAGGCTTTGCGCAAGGGGATGCAGAAATCCATGCTGGCCACAAGGAGCACGACAGCAACCCGACTTTCGCAGCGGCTCCTGGTGTCTACGTCAGCAAGGACCGGATACTCTCTAGAAAGCTGGGACATTGCGGGCGCTTTTCTCAAAGGCTTCTCATTCCATCCCAGAAGGTGAAGGAGTTGCTGCAGCGTCGTGGAATCACCACTCCGGAGCGCAAGGTGGTTGTGATGGCTCCGGCGAACGTGTGGAGACATTTAGCATCCATTGATTCCTTTTTTGCGATTCCCGAGAACAAGCTGGAGAACTACGGTTTGTTGTGCGGGAACCCGTCTACGGTTTGAACGATGCACCTTTGGCATGGCAGTTGTGCCTTCATGAGTTTGCCCGGGAGCAAGGCGGCCTTTCCAGCAGCCTCGATGAGAACATCGTATGGAAAAACGAGAATGGGCTCACAGCGATGGCTACAACGCATGTGGGTGATCTGGCAGTGACGGCGGACCAGAAGTGGCTCAACAAGTGTTACGACCTCTTCGTGCAACGTTTCAAGAAAGTGTCTCGGAATGCGATGCCGTTCGAGCACTGCGGTTGTGAAAACAATACTGCTCCATCCGGCATTGTCATCACTCAGAAGGAGTTCAGCAAGAAGATTCCTTTGGCAGCTGTGCCGAAACGAGCTCCAGAGAGTAAGCTGCTGCCAGAAAAGATAACACAGCTGAGGTCATCACTTGGCGCCCTGCTGTGACTGACAGCCACACGGCTTGACCTGGTGGCAGATGTGTCTATTCTGCAGTCAAGTGTGACTACTGCAGAGGTTCGACATTTGCAGCAGGTGAACAAGGTCATCAAGCAGGCCCAGGGCCCGAACAATGTCAACCTCGGCCTGCAGTACCGGAAGTTCAACACGATGCATCAGCGCATCATTGCGGTGCATGATTCATCACATGCATCAAAAGGGAAGTGCTATGCTCAGGAAGGGATCCTCATCATGATGATCGATGATCCTGGCATGGAGAAGAAATACCTACACATCGAGAATGCGATGATCAGGAAGCAGCCCGACATGGAGGAGTATGCCACGTTTTACACGCACATGGAGCCAAGGCCAAGAGAATCAGCTACAGCACGTGTCACTCGGAGACACTGGCGGCGGTGAGTGCGATGGAAGTGGCTACACTGGTACGGCTGCGCCTCAGCGAGATCAACTTCCCGAAGGTCATGCCAACCGTCAAGGAGCTGATCGCCATCCAGGAAAAGGGGGACATCAACATGTCGATTGACATGTACACGGACTGCAAGGAGTACTACGAGCTCACGACGCGATCTATGCTTCCACAAGATCGTACGCAGAGACTGTACATCCTGTCGATCCGCAAGTCTAGGATCGCTGGGCGAATCAGGCAGATATGTCTGATACCGACGGAGTCGATGACTGCCGACGGTTTGACAAAGCCAATGTTGAGTACATGTTTGATGCGGCTTGTGTCATCAGGAACGGTTGAGTTCAAGAATGCCGACCACAACATGGAGGTCGGGTATTTGCCGACCAGCAAGGATTCCACAGAGGAGGACCTCTACAAAGGTGACCGCACCATCACCGAGAAGATCGCCTACGGCACGCTTGCACTACTGACAGCACGTAAAGCCCCAATCACGCTGGCAGCTCTCGTAATGCTACCACAAGCAGCATCAACGACTACCACCACTTGGCCTGAAATTGCAAGTGCCGATGAAGGTGTTTCTGACAGCTTCTTCATCGGCATCATCCTGGTGTCGATGGCTACGGCATTGTTGCTGGAGCGGCTGATCACCATGATCCACAAGTGGTACCGCGACTACGAGTCCAGGAAACACTTGCACGGCATGCGCCGGAAGCTGGCGAACATGAGCAAGAAGTATCAAGATGAGGTGGCCGCACGTGTGCGAATTGAGGAAGAGTTGACAAGGTCACGAAGAGGCTGTGCTCAAGCACTACAAGACTTGAGCCGCGCGCGCCAGAGGCACAAGCCCTTTAGGATCCTTGTCACTAGACACGGGGAATGCTACCACCGTGAGACCTGCGGCCATATCTCACGAGTACAGAGCAAAGCTTTCAGACCCTGCGCCGACTGCGTGGGGTGAATGAGACACGGCACCGAACAAAAGGTGACCGGAGTGAAGTTTGTTTCACAGCATGCATCACTGATACCGCAGGCGCCTTGAGACCAAAATAAGCGAGCGTTCGGGTTGTAGCCATCCCAACAGGTGCAGCAGTTTGCCCATCCACAGTATTAGTGTTGTCTTCAAACGGACACCTAGGGTTTGGCTGCATACGAACCAGAGCAGGACCTCCTTGTATCTACGTATTTGGGCAATTTAACAACCTGGAGCAAAAACGGGCTCATCGCTGAAGGCCCTTTACTAGGGAGTTTCCTTAGTCGTGGTTTAGGTACATATGACTATCTTTCGGACCCTTGAAGATGGCTTATCTACACATGTAGCCACAGTCTGAGTTTCTTTTCAGTCGCTCGGAAGGCGCGGTGCAGCACGCGGGTGGTGCTGCTGGTTTCCGAGATCTGCCAGCCCTTCGAGTCCGCCTCCGAGGAGGAAGGCAGGCCAGCTAGTATTTTCGCTACTCCAAGCGAAAATGGGGTAACCCTTACATGGCTGTGGGTCAAAATGAAATCACCAGAAAATCACAGGCTTTTAGTCAATGTTTCCATGTATCAGGGTTCAGGGTTCCATTTTGAGTACCAATTCTTGACCCACAGCCACATAGCCACTATATAAAGTTTATATACAGTGTCTTGTCTTGGAGGTGGTGGTTTGGGGGTAGTGGTTTGGGGTGGACGCCAGAGGCAGTCGGGAGTCGGGAGCGAGGGAGGCGTCCGATGGCTTTCATGGACATTGAAACCTTTCAACTTCGTGTGTGTGTGCTTTACGCGCCGTGGGTATGTCTTCTTGTAGCTTCTTGTAGGATTAAAAGAGGAAGCTAGACGCAAAACCACCGAAAATTGCGACCCTCAATAGGACATTAATCCCGATGCGCTTTCCTCAGTGCCAGATGGCCACAGGGCGGGGGCATTGCGTCGAACCAGTTCGGTCTATTGTTGATTTGAGAAGGACATGGAGGTAAGAACTCAAACGTTGCAAAGAGCAGGGCGACCACCCTGGTTTCTTGTCGGGAAACAAGTAATTTTGTCCACTGCTTAGGTCTAGCTCACTTGCCCAGTCACTGGACTTCGCTTTTTCGGGGTGTCCCGTGTTGATGATTTAAGACAGAACGCCTAGTTTCTTTTTCTGACCAATCCACTCAGGATGTGAAAAGGGGAATCCACCTTTTTCCCCCCCCTCAAGCTGACATGGAAGACAGCAAAGCGGGTTCAATGCCAAATAGGACATTCCTGTGTGAATCAGGTGAGCGAGGGGTTCACTGAGTGGCGAATATAGCTGGTCCGTTGTTCATTTGGAGAGGACATGGGCTACCCAACAAATGGGGGGCCTACCCAAACCTGGACTCAACAACAAGATGTCGGCCCATTTTTTTTTGGGGGGGGGGGGGGTCGGAAGGAGACTCCAGGTGTCGAAAAATTCGGGGTTACCCCAAATCTGAAAGAGGCTTCCTGTTGGTCTCTTTTGAAAACCGCCCAAAAAGCGGGGGGGCGCTGAGCCTCAAAGAAGCCCCAGACTTCGGGAGGCGAGGGTCAGAGCTTCACCACGCGGCTGAGTCTCAAGATCCAGGCCTTCGAGTTCGAGAGTCGAACCGAAAACCGGGGGCTGCAGACTGACCATGGGAACGTTGATGAAGAAAACCCCCTGATGAGTCTGATGAGTCCATGAAACATCCCTTGCCAGACTTTTCCAAGGGTTGCTTTTCTCAACTGCTCTTGCCCCTTTGGCGTTCCGCACCACCCCGGTGTTTGTTTTTGACCAATGTTGATCGCCTGCAACCATTTGGCTCAAGGCCCTTCTGTACCATAGCAATACTCATGATTGCGTGACAAAGGAACCTTTGCAGGCCGCTTACAGGATTATACCACAAGTCAATCCACCAGGGACAATCCATCCTCCAATCATCCATATTGGCATATTGGACTCTCTCCGGAATAGATCCAGGGACCGCATAAACGACCTCTACTACCGCAGATTACCAGTTCCCTTCTGGGATAGGCACCCCGGCAGTGGGCCTCACCCCCCGAACATTGGCGACGTTTGCAGAAAAGTCTGGCCCTGTCCCAAAGGGGTTCCTTCTGATTTCCTTTTCAAGCAAGCTGCAACGAGGTAACCTCAAGCTTGGACGACCTCAGGGACCGTAGCTGGCTTTCTGCTGGTTGTTCACAAAGTGATGCAAGGTCGAGGACCGCAGTCCAGGCAAAGAATTCAAGACCAAAACATCGAGCGTAACGCCAGTTTCAATGCATGAGCTGCACGCTTAGCTTCTGGAGAAAGTCCTTGGTTCAATAGGTGGCGGTTCGCCAGCGCTAGCATGGCGCATCTTCGCCGAAAGGAGTTGCCCTTTCTGTAGTCGGACTTGCGATGCGCAATGATGGAAAGTCATTTACCCTTTTTCCTTGACCAACAATAGGGACGTTTGACACCCGTGCGAAGGGGTCTACCTGAAGGTATGGCAACCCGATCTTCAGAACAACAGGGAATTAGTAGGATCTTCTAGCGATCAATGGTGATTCCAAAAAGGCTTCTTGAAGAAAAGGGATCGAGCCAATTGCAGTGCGCAATTCCGATTGATTTTTGGGCCATAGCCAGCTGTTGTTTTCCTTTGGCGCAGTGCTAGATAGTACGTAGTATTTGCCAGGTGAGATTGAAGATACGCGATACAAGAAATGCAAGGTACGGATTCAGCTCGTGAATGCCAAGGTGAAAATGGCAAAACTCGCAAGGAGAGAGAGGGGCGAATTAGGACCAACATGGGGTGGATTGCCACAGGAGGCCACAGGAGGCTCATATGTGGCCCCCAAATTGTTGGCCAGGAGTTGAACAGCGAGATTGAGAAGCACCAGAAGACAAAGGTCCGGATCTTGGGTGCAGAGCGTTGGGGGCACTTGACAAAGTGAAACACGCAAACAGACACACATATTTACACACACACACATGCACATATATGTATACACACACACACACCCAGTGACTTTACCATGGCACAGGGAAACCCGAACCCCATTTTTGCGGTGGCCACAATATGTGGTATAGAGAAAGTGGTCACGCAGTGCGAACTGTTACCTGGTCCCCTGTTTTCACACATACCCAAATAGGTCTATCTTATTTCAGCCCCCCCCCAAAAAAAAAAAAAACTGGAAGCTGGGTAGTTTTCCTTTGGTTTCCTTTGAAGGGAAGCGGGATTCCATCAAAACGACAAGCCCCCGTTTGAAGGACCAGCTGGACGCGGCCAAGAAGAAGGCCTGCGCCGCCGAGGACCCGAAAAGACTGTGTTCCCGTCTGGAGAAGGTGGTGGGTTAAGACCAGCTGAACGGTTGGAGAAGGTTGTGGCTTCCATGGCGAAGACCAGCTGAATCGCCCACTCTGTGGTTCTCTTTGAGGGTATTCCCTTCTGGTCCCCTCGAACGACCTCCATGAGAAGCAAGAACATAGGTAGATGGGGATGTGTTTTTTTGAGGGGGTTGCAGGAAAGTTCTGCGGCTCTTGGGGATACCGCCTGGGTGTATTGTCGTTGTTTGGCTATGAATTTCAACAGTGGTGGACATGATTTTTTTAAACGATCACAGGGTCCCCAAGCAAAGTTCACGCCCATTTGGCTCCCTGCCAGTCCTCGACAGCTACCCCTGTGCCCAAAAGCAACCCGAGGGAAGTGTCCTTTTCAGGTCAGTTTGTGTGAAAGTAGACGGCGCTGGTTTCAATTTGATTCTATTCATTTATCGCCGCCATCCATTCCAACGCTTCTTAAGTCCCTCAAGGCTCCAAAGGAGCTGGAAGCTTCAGTGGTAGAGAGAGCGGCTTCGGGCTACGGTTCCGGAAAGGTTCTAGAATGGTTGCGGTAGAGTTGTGGGGCTTACTGTTGAGGCCCTGGGAAACTTTTGATTGGTTTGCTGCAAGGTATTCATGGCGAGCGCTGCCGAAGGGATCGGGGAAACTGCGCGGTTCCAGCCGAAAATCAGGGTTGGGTGAGGCTCGGGCTCCTGAATCAGCAGTTTCCGAGGGAGCCCTTCGTTCGAGTTGGCGCAAAGTTCGTAAGGCGTGCAATGGAATGAAGTGCATGGCACATGTTCTCCACCCGAGGAGTACATCCAAGCACAGAAGTTGAAGGATCAATCCAGGCGCAGGGCTGCACGGGGGCGGGATAGTAATTTGTCCCGTGGTCCATTTTGGAGGGACACAGGGGACTCTACTGTACCAACGTCCATAGAGGCTAGCGCATATGTGCGAGACAAGCTCCATGGTAATTTGCAGTACTGTTCCCTTAGACGTGATAGAAGGGGTGTGTTCAAAAGGAACAGAAGGAAACTGGTCTCAACCTGCCCCATCCGTTTTTCCCAAAAGAGGTCAATACTACCAAGGGACTGGTAAGGATTGCAGATTCCCGGACCCTTTTGTCACCCAAATACCCCCATGGCGTGGAACCAGACACTGGCTCCTCCAAACTGGAACTTGTTTTTTTCCAGAAACCTCCGTCAACATCTGAAATCTCAGGAAACTCAATCTTGCCCTCTTGCCTGAAACAGCAAAGGAAAATCTCTGCCGGCAACCTGGTATGGAAAACACGTTTAAAGAGCCAGACCCTTGTGCTCTTTAAAGGCCGATGTTGCTTGAACAATAGCTGTTTAAACGAGATGCTGGCCCATCCTGCCCCCAACGGTGGACACCCACGCTTTCACGGGCCGGCCGTTGCGGATTGAGCGTTCCTGGACAGCCGACCAGGCTTTGATCAAAGTTAAAAAGTCAACAAGTGTTTGAGACAACAAGTGGAGCCCAAAGTCAAGGTTTGGGGCCGCTATGCTTCGCCCACAGGAAGAACGAGAAGGAGCTCTCACGGCTCGAAGGGGAGCAGAGTAGGTGGGAGGGACCGAATTTGGAGCTGCTTGCTTCCGACCAGTGGCCCATGGTTTGGGTTGGTGTCCCTTGAACATCAACCAACAACAGAGAGCGTTGGGTGAAAATAGGGAGTCTATGGAAAAGTGCATGTTAGTTTTATATGAAAAGCCACAGGGGTCGTTGGCGATGGCAAAGCAGCATTGCCATCAGCTGGGATTTGGACCTTGCCAGCCAAAATTGCCATGCGAAGCTTTTGGACAATGACCTCTTAGCTAACCTCGCTAACAGGGGTTGCAGGTCTGCAGATCATTCCTAGTGATCGCAGAAAGCCATGATGTCGTGGAAGGACCAAAAGATGATCAGATTTGTCAAATGGGCATGTAAAATTGGGACCCCTCTCAGCATGGCGGCTTTGGTTTGTGGTTTCCAGTGAAAGCAACGTGCTCAAAACAAAACACAAACCCACATGAAGTTCCACACTAAGGCCATCGGAGACGCGCTGTATTGTTTCTGGGAAGGTCCCAGCCAATGGGCAGACTCCTTTAATGCCAGGTTTGAGCTTTCTTCAAAGGGGGGTTGTCCAACAATGGCCTTGCTTCACTTATTGCGCTGGACTGATGAAATGTCTGGCGATGTGTATTAGTGGGCGCTGGTTTCAAAATTGCGCGTCTTTGAGCAGGGGTCCTAAGATACGATTCCAGCAGGGACGGAGACTTGCTGAAACACACTCCTATATTAAGGGAGCAGCAGGATCATTTTTATTGCATCCTACCGTAGCTTCCTTAGTGGGAGATCAATCAGATCATGGGCAAGCTGGGGCAGTCTTCAGTTGCCCTCCCATTAGACAAGCCGTGCTGGCGCTTGCTTCAGCCGACTCGCGGACTCACACTCTGCGGAGCTTTCCGTGGCTGAGATCTTGGAGAAGTCTGTGCCAGCGCGAGCAGTGCAGCACCTGCAATCGCCTTCTTCTTGCAGACACTGTTCCAAAACAAGCAGTTGAAGCCAACATGAGTCGCCTGCCAAAGGTTGCGCGGCACTTGGGACATGGGCAGCCTCGCCAAGAGTTTTGTCTCAATCCCCAGCTGCTACTTGGGCTTCATTCTGTTTCCCGCTCGTTTTGGGAGGCTTGCCCTTTTTGGGGGTTGCGTGAAAGGGAAACCAACAGGAAGCCGCATCCCTTTTTCCAAAGGCCCCGTGCTGGGGGGGGGGAGGCGCCCGCCAGGCTCCTGCAGCAACGGGACGGCGTGTGCTTGCGAGTGCTGGCCATCGTCTCCGCGCTGCTGCGCTGGGCCAACTCAGACCTCCGAAAGGCGCACGGTGCGCTCGTGCGTGCGGTGGGCGGGCGGGGGCTTGGGGGAGGGATGGTCGCAAGTCCAAAGAGGGTTTTTTGGGCAAAAGTGTCTCGTCATGTGGACCCTAATCAATACCAAATTGAGACTGTTTCCAGGGTCTGCTATCTGACCTCCCCCTTGCGGGGAAACAAAAAAGGCGAGCTCCTCAAAGACAGTTGCTACACAGAAGAAGTCTCTCGACTCCGGATGAATCAACCTTGCGGATTCATAGAGGGTGTTTCCCCCAAAAAGCTGAGGTTTAAATTGGAGGCGCCCTGAGTGATGCAGCAGGGGCTAGGGAATCCTGGCTTCCCATTACTCCCCGTTCCCCGTTGAGCCTCTCAAGACGCTTCCACCAGCTTTCACCCCGCAGCATTGGCTGTTGGGCTTAGATTCATCGCTTTGTTTCCCAGTGGGGGGAATCTCTGCAGTGGGGGGACCCTCTGCAGTGGGGGGACCCTCTGCTGAGCTCAGAACATCGCAGTGCAATGTATACAGGCTTTCCCCCCAAAGTAATCCCGTGATTCGTTGGGAATTCTTTTCCACGGCTCCTCAACACGATTTGTGTTGCGATCTCACTTGGTGATTTGTGATGTTTTTTCACTTGCTCTAGAAGTTTGTGTGGGGGTACCCCAGGTTGCCATGGAACTGATGCTGGATGGTCCACGGACCTGTCAGGAAAAACAAGGTTTGATGGGGCGGGTAGCAATTTGGGGTTCTGCTCGGCAGAATGGGACCTCAGCAAACTATTGCGGGTTACCCTCACTGTGTGCGGGACCCCCTCTTTGGCAATCATTTTGAGCCACACAAATAGAAACCCGACGTCGGGATTCACATTGGGTCCAAATGCCGGCCCCAAGGTAAATCGCTTCAGCACCCACCGATAGACTTATTTGTCTTTTTGTGAGGGTGGCCATTTTGAGGTTGGTTAAAAGGCAGGCCAAAGGACACCTGCCCATTTGAGGGGTTCCTTCATGAGAGCGCGCCAAGTGGACATGTTCATCCCACAAAAGTGGTAGGGTGAACCCCTTGGCGTGCGAGGACCCTGCGCTGATGGGCACCTTGCATCAGATCCTGCTGCCGATGGTGTCCTTGCCGGCCTTGTCCAAGGAAGGGGGGCCCTGCGATTCGAAACGGGGGCTGGGGGGAAGCGGGGGTGTGGGGGGGACATAAAAACCTGAGGAAAGCATTTTGGGACCAGTAATGAAAACGTGAGATGACTGGTCGCAAATGGGAGGCTGGAGGCTTGTTTGCAGCCTTGAGTGGAAAGGCCGGCTGGCGGAGGCAAAGCCATGAGCAACGGTGAATGGGTTTGTGTTTTTTTGAGGCACGGTTGCCTTTTGGGGTGGTTTGAAAGAGAAATTGAAAGGACAACCTGAAATCATTGTCTTCGGGTCCCCCTTTTCGACACAAACACGCGCCTTCAGTGTGGTCAATATGGGCGCAGGGTGCCCAAAAATACTCAAGGGTCAAGGGTGAAACACTGGGCCAAACAAGGCCAAATAGCGCCAACTACGGCCAAAGGCCGACTAAGGCCACCTAAAAGCCAAGTTTGGCAAAACACGTCCTTGAGTCTGGGGCACTCAGAGTCTTCGGAGGGGGCTGTTCGTAGGGCTAGACTCAGCCAAACTTCTGCGAGGAGGTGGAGGTATGCGTGGTCTATGCCATTTGCCTCTTCAGCGTGCGCGACGGCGAGGTGGCAAAGTCCCACTGGAGGCAACCGGGGCTGCCGATTGGGTACACGTGAAACCCCCCATGGCCCATGATGTAAGTCCTGTTACTTCGAGATCCATGTCTTGGCTTAATGATTGTGGAAGTTGCCCAGAATGGCGCAGCGCTCGGGCTGTTGGTGATGCTGCCGGAGAGGCCCCAGACACCAAGTCGGTGGAGCCCCTTTTTCGACTTTGTTATTGCAGTGGCGAACCCATTGAAAATCAACTACCCGGAACATGTACCCCCATGGACATGCACTGGGTTCTGGGCAAGGTTGGCATCTGTCAGTTTCTTATCTCGCAAAGGGCAGTTGCGCTGGGCGCCTTATGGCAACCCAACAAGCGCATTGCAATTCCCTCAAAGGAGGTGAACCTCTCACAGTAAAATGCAGGTCCATTATTTTGGGTTTGGAATTATTGCAGATGA